TGCCAGTTGCGCTGTTGCCACAGGACCCCCAGAAGTATGAGATTTGGAGTCTGCCATCATTGCCATAGGCACATAAGTTCTGCTACAAAGTTGTTTTTTTGTGTCAATTACCCAAGCTGTAAATGTCACCAATCACTGTGGAGCTGCATCCCAATCCACATACTTGCACTATTTTATGCAATTTTTTAGTATAAATTGTAAAAAAAAAAAAAGTCAATTGTTAATTTTTTAAATCAGTAATTTAAAAATTTTTAAATGGACAAATTAATACAACCTCTAAATGTAAATATTTGTGTTTTGAAGTTTGTGAAGAGTGAATGGGTGCGTTTCTGGTGATTTTCTCAAGGAAGCCTCTTCATATCTATATTAATTAACAGCTGAATAATATTATACAGAGACTCTACAAAGAGATATATTTGTGAGGATTTTGTAAACCGTGAGTGGTCATGTGAAAGTCCAAGCACTGGTCAGATGCAGGAGTCAAAGATTATTTTAAATAAAAAAAAAATTAGTTTAATTGCACTCACGTGACAAAACCGAAAAGACGACAAAATACAGATGCAAGATTACTGCAACTGATATACTCTGGAACACCTGAACAAAAAAAAATAAAAAAATCCATCCAATGTCAATTGCTTGCTTATCAAATACGGATCTGAATTATTTAAATCCACCCAAGTTACAATGAGGCATCATTTTAATCTGGTCTAGATTGGTTTACATCTGTTAAAAAAAAATAAAAAAATAAAAAATAATAATAATAATAATAATAATAAATACACACACACCGTAGTCCTGGATCTTCTAGGAGCTTAATTAACCTAGATTTTTTCACTAATTTCAGGACAAGTAACATTTTCCTTGCAAGGGATCCACACTATCAGTATTAAGTCAGCATACCGTGGCAATGAGAATCTGAAGAAAATGTACATTTCTAGCAAAGGGGGGAATTCTAGCAAAGAACATGCTGCAATATCCAAATTCTTATTACGCAGCATTTACGGTGGCAGATCCACATGCTTCGCATGAGTTGAACCAGAGACTGAAACTTGGTTGCTTTGTTCAGCTGCTTTTGCGATCCATCTGTGGAATTATGACCGAGTGTTTCAGGATGCACTCTAAAACTGTAGCGTTTCAACAGAACTGTATTTTTTCTGTGGCTCAATCAAGCTCCCCAAACACCAAAGGACACAAATGATACCCAAACCCCAACTAATCCACAGCCGCTCAAGGTAATGAAGGCAAAACTAGTCAAAGAACCAAACTAAAAGGGTTCAGATGCTTTTAAGTTTATTTACTCAATATACACACGCAATTTCACATACTTAATACTCCTCTTCATCCTCCCCACAGTCCTCAGTGGAATCAGCACCAACCTCCTCGTAGTCTTTCTCCAGAGCAGCCATGTCCTCTCGCGCCTCCGAGAACTCTCCTTCCTCCATCCCTTCACCCACGTACCAGTGCACAAAAGCCCTCTTTGCATACATCAGGTCAAACTTGTGGTCCAGGCGGCCCCACGCCTCTGCAATGGCAGTGGTGTTACTCAGCATGCAGACGGCCCTCTGCACCTTGGCCAGATCCCCTCCTGGGACAACAGTGGGCGGCTGGTAGTTGATGCCAACCTTAAACCCCGTGGGACACCAGTCTACGAACTGTATGGAGCGGCGCGTCTTGATGTTGGCTATGGCGGCGTTCACGTCTTTCGGAACCACGTCACCACGGTACAGCAAACAGCAGGCCATGTACTTTCCACGGCGAGGGTCACATTTCACCATCTGGTTTGCTGGCTCAAAACAGGCATTGGTGATTTCTGGTACGGAGAGCTGCTCGTGGTAGGCCTTCTCGGCTGAAATGATGGGAGAGTAGGTGACCAGTGGGAAGTGGATGCGTGGGTACGGGACCAGGTTGGTCTGGAACTCTGTAAGGTCCACATTTAGGGCTCCATCGAAGCGCAGTGACGCCGTAATGGAGGACACGATCTGGGCGATGAGCCGGTTTAGGTTGGTGTAGGAGGGGCGTTCAATATCGAGGTTTCGCTTACAGATGTCAAAGATGGCTTCGTTATCCACCATGAAGGAGCAGTCGGAGTGCTCCAGAGTAGTGTGGGTTGTAAGGATCGAGTTGTAGGGCTCCACCACAGCAGTGCTGACTTGCGGGGCCGGATATACAGAGAACTCCAACTTTGACTTTTTACCGTAGTCGACGGACAGTCGCTCCATCAGTAGAGATGTGAAACCGGAGCCTGTTCCGCCACCAAAACTGTGAAAGATCAGGAACCCCTGCAGACCAGTGCACTGGTCCGCCTAGATAGAAATCAGAGGGAAAAGAGAGAGAATTCAGATCCAGCCAGGAATTCTTCATCTAAAGTTCCACATTTTCAGTTCCCCAATGAACTCCGTGAACAGTTCTTAAGAAAAAATAAATAAACACTTCTTAATGAAGAACATTAGGGCACCTTCCATGGATGTTAAAGATTCTTCAGTGAGCTGTAGATGTTAATAAAATAACCTTTTTTTGTGCAAGTGTAAACTCACCATTTTGCGCATCCGGTCAAGCACAGAGTCCACAATCTCTTTGCCGATGGTATAGTGACCTCGAGCATAATTATTGGCGGCGTCCTCCTTGCCACTGATGAGCTGCTCGGGATGGTACAGCTGTCGATAGTGTCCAGAACGGATCTCGTCTGCAGGTCAAACAAAAGGAATAAGAACATACAGCTTCACCGGAAATACAGGAACAACATTAACTTAATAGAAAGCCTAAACGGTGTTCAGTCTTACCAACAACGGTCGGCTCTAGATCAATGAAAACTGCACGAGGAACGTACTTCCCAGCACCAGTTTCACTGAAGAACGTGCCAAAAGAGGAGTCAGTCACAGAGCTGCCATCAGCAACAATAGTTCCATCTGGCTGGAAGCGGTGCTCCAAACAATAAAGCTCCCAGCAGGAGTTACCCATCTGGATGCCTGCTTGACCAATATGTATGGAAATACACTCCCTCTGGTTTGCCCAAGACAAGACACAAGCACACACCAAAGGTCAAAACGGCAGTGAAGTGCTAAAATAATAACACCAAAAATCCAGTGAAAATGACCATCAGTAACCTCACCATTTTACTCAAGTACCACAGCAAGCAGGAATTAATGCAAAGCCTTTAAACCCTAGAAAAATAAAAGACACGTGTTCAAGCCCACCTTATCACCTAAAGTTCGTAAACTTTCTGAAACAACTAGCTCACCTCCACAGCAACACCAAGCCACTCACCTGATCTTGATTTATACTGGCCTCAAATTAGAAGGGTGTGGCTCTTAATGAACTCTACCTGAGAAAACGAGTAGCCCTGCGGATTCAAAACAGAACATGCTTTATTGCACTAGACAAGTCTTTATTCCTGTTAATAACAAAGTTGGTAGTACAAGCAGATCCTAAAAAGGGCTTGCTTAATTTAATATTTAGGCTACTATATATATAGAGAGAGAGAGAGAGAGTTGTATGATATGTTAATTATAAAGCGCTAATATAAGTAATAAATAAGGTAATATTATTCTAATATGGTTATTATATTTATTTTATTGGCATATATAACAGTTATCTGTATAAATTATAAAATACTATTATGACAAGGTAATGTTTAATTTATTATATTATATGAAGAGTTTATTTGCAAAAACAGATAACTCTGGTGAAATGGTCAAAAATCATGTTTTTTATTATGTTCTCATGTTTTTATTGTGTTAGTTAGCGGGGGGGTTTTTTTTAGTTATTTTTTAACCTAGTCAAAATAACCCAACTGCAGTTTGATTGAGATTAACTGGAACGCGCAATGAAAAAACATGATTTCTGAGAATTGTTAAAAACGAAGTTATCTGTTTTTGCAAATGAACTCTTCATATATATTTATTACATTTTATATTATCATCTCACACATGGATCGGCATTTTCTATAATGTATTTCTATAATAAAAAATACATATCTGATATGACTTAATATATAATTTTCATGAAACAAACAATATAATTCATATTCTCAAGGATTAAAGATTAAACGGAAAAAAAAGAAAAATGATTGCACAACCATCAATTAGTTGGCGATATGCAGTAAGCATGTAAACGACCATTGAAAAAAAAAAGAGAAAGAAACAGCATGGCACGCTTTTTCTTTGCGTCCGTTTCCATAGTGACTCGTCGATTCGTCGCTCTGTTGAGAATGTCTCGAGTCTTAACCAGGAACATACTCGGAGTTGAATGAACTTACTCCCGGACGCGTTTTTTGAACCCACATACCTCGAGTAGCCTAAGCAAGGTTTGGGGTTAATCAACCGAAAGGTCAGGGTTTAGCTGACGGTAAGTTAACCGTGCTTTCTGGAATACACCCCAGGTTAACGTGGGTGAGTCTGAAATGACATGAATGAATCCAAGACCACCAATCATTAAAGCTTCCGATTATCCCAGCAAGGGTCACTGACTGTAGTAATAACGTGTGTGTGTGTGTGCCTACTTAACCGTATTCTAGGGACAAATTTGTACCCAAAAGTGAGCAAAACCTGGCAAATCGCCAAAAACCTCCATTTGGGGACGTCCTCGTTTGTAAAAGTGGTATAAAAATAAAGTACACAAAGTTTTTTTTTTGAAATTGTAAAAATGCAGAAAGTTTTCTGTGAGAGGTAGGGTTAGGGGTAGGGATGGGTTTAGGTTTAAAAGTGTATACATATCTGTATGTAAAAACAATAGTAGTCTATGTAATGTCCCCATTTAGACGCACAACTTTATTGTCATGTCACTGAATGATCTATTATGAAATATCTATTAGTGAATTATCTACATTTTTACTTTAGAGACTGCTTTATATTTTATGCTACATTCTTCTATATTTATCTATGAATGAATGAATGAATGAACATAGCAGACACCAGACAACATTACATAAAAAACAGGCACCGTGCTACTTTTTGTGCACTCTTATTTTGAACCTATTGCGTCATTTCCGCTGGCCATTTGGCTCTCTTCGATGCTAGTGTTGTTGCTGAATTAAGTTCGTGCGGTGGACCTTCGCGTTAAGCGTTAGTTTGCGTCAATTGAGTCTGTCACAGCTCAAATCAAATGTATTCTAACAGTTTTATTATTATTTTATTGTTTGCGTTGGTGTGACGTAAACGGTTCTATATCTGCATGGTTGCACGCGCAGTGAAATCGCCGTTCACTGCTGTACGTTACTGACCAGTAGCCGCAAACTTTTGGGAGATGGGGAAAAACCGCAAGCGTTTGAAAGGAAAGGGAGCAGCTCAAGCTCCAGGACCTGGACCACAACATGGCATGCGGCCCACAGCGCCTCCTCAACCCAGACCTCCTCCCCCTCACGGCGGGCTTCGCGGTCCTGCTCCCGTCCGCCCGATGGGCCCACCTGGACAGAGGTTTCCTGCGCCCCATCGCGACTTCGGACCCCAACCCCCCAGAATGATGATGATGGACAACATGGAAGAGGACAGAGGGTTTATGCGTGAGCCGCAGGGATTGATGATGGACGATGAGCCTTATCACCACCCGCTGGATTTTCCCGACAGACATGAGTTTCCCCCGCGTTTTGATGGACCTGATCCACATTTCCATCATCATTCAGAGTTTGGGAACAGACCACCAGCACCGCGCTTTTACCGTCCAGAGCTTGAATATGCTTTCCATTCTCCGGAGTTTGATGACAGACCTCCCGACTTCTGCCCGCCCGAGTTTGAAGGAGGGCCAGGTTTCCACAGGATGGACCCTGGATTCGACCAAGTGGAGCAGTATGGTCCAGCAGACCCGCATCACACGCCACAAATGGATGTACATGTAAGTACATGTTTGAAACCTCATAGAATTGTGGTGGTTTGCAGTCTAGTGAGCCGTTTGGTCAATTACTTCCAAATAATCAAAGCCAAGTGTTTGGATCACGATTAGGTTAACGATTCCAGTTCTATAACGATTCGTTTTGTGAAATCAATAATTATTGTTGACTCAACCGTTACTGAATGCTGATCATCTCAAATGTCAACATAACACGTAAATCCTAGATAATTAAAATTATTTGCAAAAGTAGCCTATTTAACGGAGCACCTAATGCAGAGGCATAATGCGATTAATAATAGTTATTAAAACACCATAACTGTATATTAAATAAAATACCAAGCAAACAAAATATGTAATTAATTAATTAGTTTAAAATACAACAGCATTCGTAGTGAATCGACAATGAGAGATTCATAAGTATTTTTGATTCGCTAAAAAGAACGCATTCATACGAGTCGTTTGTTCACGAATCCTTTTGATTCATTTAAAAAGAACCAGATCACATACACATCATTAGTTTGGAAATTGCACTGCACCACTCTGTATAAATTATACATCAGTGTCCTACACTGTTATATGTCTTTGATTCACTTCAAACCTGCCCCCACTAAAAATAAAATAGGATAAAAAAGTATTAAAAATACTTTTAATGAATCGACCAAAAACCAGGAGTTTGCCGATTGAATCTGTCTGATTACAAAATAAATACAGATATTAAAACCATTGATTTGATTTCTTTCCACAAAGCTATTGAATAACTTAAAAAAGAATAGCCTATTACAAAATAGTCACTATTGGTGAAGGAGAAAAATATAATCAAGCTGCAGCAGTGAGTGTAGAAGTATGAATAAAATAGCTTTTTTTATTATAGAAGTTGTTTTTATATATAAAATTAGTCTACTGTGTGATATTTATCTGAAGAGTGCTTTGAAGGATCAGAGTTTATACTGGAAGACTGCAAATCATGCTAGCTTATGATTTTGTATGTACATGATAAACTTTGTGTGACATTTGAAACCATATTTATCACAAGATTTCTCTTTTGACCTTTTGATCTTGGTGTGCAAGCCAGTGTTTAGCATATAAAATACTGATTTCTGCTCTGCCCTAAACAATGACACATTCAAGACAAAACTTTGATATAGGGCTGCACGATTAATCGAATGCGATTGTCATACGCATTTTGTTAGTAAAGCCGGTTCTGTAATCAGCAGGAAATCATCATCACGTGCTTTCAGATGGAGCAGCATTTACTACACAGAGCCGTAGTTCACTGACAAGCTACGCAAAAAAATCGCAGACGATTTTATTGCGCGATTCTGAAATCGAAGAAATCGTTCGCGATAATGACAGCTGTTTGCATAGCTTCTCAGTGAACTACGGCTCTGTGAAGTAAATGCTGCTCCATCTGAAAGCATGTGAAAATACCACATTTAATAACATATTTTTACTCCAAACTCACTTCATAACGTCAGTTGAGTGTTTGAAATAAATCCTTCTGTGAGATGATGTGGCTTCTTACACAGAATAAGGCACGCAATATATTTCATAGTATTTAAGCAGTGATAAAGGCATTGTATTATAAATATACTTTATTTTAATGAAAATTATAATAATAAGAACTCAGATAAACCGTATATTGCCGTAGTCGTGTGTTTATTAGTCACGTTGAATCAATGAAAGCAGTTGAATCTTCTGTTTATTCAGCTGCAGCGATAGGCATTTTCTGGGTTTCTTCTGCGAGGCGTATTTGGAGTTTCAGCGCGAGAGCGCCCTCTGGCGTTTGGATGGAGATTTACTGCTGATCACAGAACCGTGCTTCACTGAAAGATACGCATGACAATCGCAGCTTCTGTCGAATCGCGATCTCGATTCCATTTCGATTTATCGTGCAGCCCTACTTTGATACTTTAATTGCTTCAGAATAGAGATGCACGATTGCAATTTTTTTGTAAGTGTGACCTGCCGCTACCAATTGTTGCCGATTACGACAACATTTTACACCTATTACGGCGATTTTTTTTCTAAGAACTATAATTGACAGCGTATATAAACAAAAATCTAAATGTATGGGAAACACTGATCTAAATATAAAAAATTAAAATGAAACTTACAACCCTCTACATTGCGAGTAAATCTCTTTCATATGCGACTAAATCTTACTCTGGGCGACTAAATAATGTCTAACATTAGCCATTGGCTAATACGTGTGTGTGTGTGTGTAAAATAGTATATCAGTCTGGCGAGTAAACAAAAAAACTAGCCAATGGCGATTATATTGCCAAGGTGTGCGTAGAGGGTTGACTTACCTGCTTGAACTCTTTCATTTGATCTGGGTGTCTTTAAAGTGTTTTGTTAGTTTGGTGTGTTTCCTCGTTTTGATGTCGCAATGTCTCAGTGCTTTTATGAAGAGTACCTTTCGGATAGCGCATCAAGAACCGGGTTTACCGGGTACTCGGTACCACCGGTACTTAAAAAAACCTGGTACCGTAACGTTTTCATTTTTTTAGTACCGACTTGGTACCGAAGTACCGGGTCTTTTGACAACACTACTATATACCATTGCTTCCAGCTAAAATATGAGTCCTCTATAATATACTAATAATAATAAATAAATAAATCAACAAACAAATAAATGAGTTTGTTAATCTCTCAGTCAGCTGGTTTTTGTTTGTTTAGTTGGTCAACTAGCTGAAAATCCCTCTAAAACATGCGATACACCCCATCTTAACCAGCTTAGTCATTTCATGAAACCAGCTAACCAACTTTTTTTTTTAGAAGGGTAAACATATTGTATGCAATATCCATATAACTACAGTAGATAGTCCTTCCTTTTTTTTTTCTTTAATCTTTTTGTCCTAGAATATAATAAAAATTTCTTCAATTTCATAATCGCGCGATTAAATCGTCTGTGTAGTAAACGCTGCTCCATCTGAAAGAACGTGCTGGAGATTTACTACTAATCACAGAACCGGCTTTACTGACAAGATGCGCGTGACAATCGCATTCGATTAATCGTGCAGCCCTACATCAATGTGAACAAACAAACAAAAAAATTAATGCCACTTATATTATATCAATGTAACTTTGCTTTCTGTTTATTACTTAAAGTAGCCTACACTTTAATACTTTTTCAATACCACAGTAGGCAGGTGAACAGTCAGTAAAAAAAAAAGAAAAAGAACAAATACACAAATTTATACAAAACAAATACACAAAGTGCGGGAAAGAGAGATCCGATCGGTTATCCATATAGAGAAGTCACTTGATGTTGCCAAGTGTAAATGTGCCGTGTCCTGATTGACTGATGATCCGATCTGCTTGATCAGATCACGGTGATCGCATGTTAATTAGGGGTGTGCACAAATAGTCGAATATTCGCTCTGTAATTATTATTCGAAAAATAAAAACACTATTCGAATTTTACTGCATGATGCTTTTCTGGCCGTAAATACAGGGAATCCATGATAAATTCTCCGCAGTGATAACTAAATGCACTGGCTGGCGCTGTGTGGCGTGTTAATGAGTTGATTGCATTTGATCACAGAATGTTGTCGTCTGCCTCGCAAAGTTTGGAATTTGGTTTAAGAATTACTTTGATAAAAATTATCTTCTTACTAAATGATCTTACAAAATGGAAATACTTTTGATCAAATGAATCAGTGAAACTGAGTTATCATAATATCACCATCACAATGAGAAATCCCATAAAAACCAAAACAGCAGTCGACTGAGGAAAGACAGCTGTCCATCACTGCATTCACGACTGCAGGTAAGCGCAGCTGTACCCGAGTGAGCCGAGAAGAGAGCTTATCTGATAGTGAAATGATCGTGAGACACATGCTTCCTTTAAGTTTCCTCGAGGGAGAGTGGTTTAAAAACAGAAAACACACA